CAAGTCTGAGACAACTTGCAACCTTTAATGGACAAATTCAAAGCTAATGTCAAACAGAAAGAGACTAAATAGCTCAAGAGAGAAATAAAATAGCAACGATATTATCTACAATTAGAATAGAACGGTGGAGGCAACAGAGGCAACATTAATGGCGAGCGACGAAAGACGACTTGAGCACTCCACGCGCCATCTCCATATTTCTTTCTGTGTGCACCTCTTTGTATTCTGAGACTATGAAAATAAAGGCGAGATGGCCTTATTTATAGCCAGGCAAAAAGTTAACACTGGTTAACATAAAAACCGATGTTGAAAATGCATTTTATATCAAACACAAGATAATCAATGTAACTTTAAATCTTACATCGAACTTTACAACATCCAGCATAAAGCTCTAAGAAAATAATCAGTTGTTCTTCTCTTTCTTTAAATCGCAAAAAAAAAAACTACATTTTTACTAATTTTAGAGTCTGTTGTTAAGGATCGAGAGAAAAAAAATTGCTTTAAAAGAAACAAATACAAGAGTAAATCATCACAAAGTCTAATTCATTGGTTTATACCAATTATGAAAAATACAACTTAACAATAAAGTAATTTCTTTGGAAACCAGCACTCAACTATAATATTATTTTGTAAGCCATCCTAAGTGGCCCCAGCCCGAAGCGTGGGTCCCAACTTGAACCACGTGAATTGATTGTGTCATCTAGAAGTTAGGCCCCACAATCGTCATCGCAGAAAAGATGGCCCTCATGATTTGCACAACCGTAAAGAGAAGCAATTCAACATCACACATGGGGTGCCACCACACTGAGCCATCATCATCACCCCCTTCAAGAACGACCCTTTATCAGTTCTTTATAAACCCATACACAGATCCCTCCCTTTTTAGCTTCATGCACTTCTTCTTCTTCATCAATAATTTTAATGATGCACCAGAAAAGCGGCAAGAAGAACAAGTCATTCCCTGAATATTCTTGCTCTTACTCTGAATTTGGTTACCGATCTTCACACAGATCAAACTCTTACAACTTCAATGGACCCCGCCACAAGGTTCCCGGCTTCTGCGCGTCGAATAATGCGGAGACGAAGAGGAAGAAGAGGATCAAGGCTTATAATGTGTTTACCGTGGAAGGAAAGCTTAAGAACAGTGTGAAAAACAGCTTCAAGTGGATCAAGAACAAGTTCAGCGATCTTCGCTATGGTGTGTGATGATGATGATGATGATGATGAGATAGATCATATATATATATATATATATCATCATTGGCTTCTGCTTTGTTGCCTGAAGGAAAGATTAATTGAAGAGGTGAAGTTTCTGGTTGTTCTGCATAAATACATTGTCGCATTCTCTGTATCAGATTCTGAAGTGTCAATTTAACGAAAATGGCATCTACAGTTTCTTTTGTCTTAGCTTCTCCTTTCTGTTCTTTCTCCTCGTGATGCTCTTTGCTGTATAGTGATAGTCACCGAGGGAAAGGGGACTATACTCGCAAGCCATGGCCCTCTAATTTTTCCCCCTTAATATCATATAAATATATATATAAGTTGATTTTCTTTTATCTTCAGTGTAAGAATTAATAGAGAGATTTGCTTTAATTATAAATGTATATTTCAATACATTTTTTTATTCAAATTTTAAAATGGGTTTTCGTCGGAGAGCGACAAGACAAGGAGTTTTGACGTATAATAATTTAAACGCTAGTTTAACAAAAACTTTTCCCATGTATCATACAGCCAAAACGTGCGAAAATTATCGGAGAAGTCGAGTGTAGAATTTGAAAGGTCAGAGCAAAAATTAAAAAACATAATATATAAAATGGCTACAATTTTGCTGTATTTCCATTAAACAATTAATTTTACAAAAAATTCTAAAATTATAGAAATACACAACGGAAAAGGTATTAAACCAGGCTCATGTTTTCCTTTTCACTTCATCATGTTAGTATTTGAAAATATATATGTGTGTGTGTGTGTGTGTGTGTATTTTGGTCCACACCATTGATACTCGTAAACATGAAGATTTGTTTCACGGATCTGCAAAAGTTTTTCTTAATTGATGATCTAATTATGTTTTGGATTCTGGCTCTTTGTTCTTTTTGCTTCACGACTTTTTTCTCTTGGTTTTCTTGCTTGTTATCATTTATCTTTTGATTCACAATGAATTTTTAAGGACAATACTTACATCAAATTATTTATATCTATTATATCAGGTATTTCAATCATATATAGCTATATGTTCTACTCTTCCGGTCTTAAATATAAGACCTATTTTATAGTGTAAATTACACTATAAAATAAATCTTATATTTAGGACCGGAGGAAGTATTTTTTTAATGTGAGTTTATAAATAAATAATAAGTTTTAAAAAATATATATATACATGTCATGTGTGTTTGAAAACTTATAGAGTAATATAATAGATATAAGGAATTTAACCTAAATATTTTTCGTATTATACATGTCATCACCTATACAACACAGCTCATGGTCTCTGAAGTTGAAAAAAATATAGTTTTCTAAAGTGAACTTCGGTATTTAATTAATTCAAGCAATTCAGTTATATTAAGAATGATTTTTTTTTACTCCTTCGGTCCTAAATATAAAACTCATTTACACTACAAAATGAGTCTTATATTTAATATAAGAAAAGTATTTGATAAAAAAATTGTAGACCACTTAAATCAACTATACAACGCATACTCATTCAAACTAGTTGTTAATAAGGAGAATTAGAAATCATTTAGGTCTTGTTGATAAATTAAATTGAAATGTTCTTATATGGGTCATGTACTCATGTTGATTATCAAATTGGTTAGGACATTGGTTCATAGGTCAATAGTCTAACCATAATTGAACCAGAGTCAACTCAATTATGATTAAAATAATACTCCTCCGGTCCTTATTATAAGACCCAATTTGACTTTTTATTTGGTCCTAATTATAAGACCCAATCCATTTTGTCTCTTATATTTATGCATTTTTTTCCAAGATAATCCCTCTAATAATGATAGTTTTAGCCAATATACTTAATTAGCAAGGATATTTTAGGAATGACAACACTTATTTATTATAAATAACCAACTTAACTTACTTCCTTAATCTCCTCAAATAAGTCAATTGGGTCTTATAATTAGGACCGGAGGAGTACTATTTTCCGTCTTAACTATCAAACCTAATTTACAATCTTCAAATGAGGTCTTATAATTAGGACTAGAGATAGTACAATTTAACTGACAAATATAAAATATTTATATATAAACTTTGAAAAGAGTAATATTTAAATAAAAAAAAGACATTAATCTACAAGTAAATATATGAAACATTCACATATAAAAAATACATAATTCAATAAAACAGAATTACTAAAGTATAAATATGACATATTGCTAACTTTTTTAAAACTCAAAACGTCATTTGAAGCTCAGCTGGAAAAATAATATAAAATCTATTTGCAAGAAAAAGGGGAAAAAAAGTTCAACACATTTAACAAGTGCAAAACTTTTGACCAGGTCGATCAAAACTTTTGACTAACCCAACAAATTGGGTTAGTACTGTGATTACAAGTAGTCAACAAGGTTAATGCTTCTGCGTTTAGTTTTCTTGTTATTTCAAGTTGTTAGTACTTATTCTTTTAATGGGAAAAAAAAACAATAACAAGAAACCAATGATAATAAACAAATTGCAAATCAGACAATACTTATGTCAATTCTATTATATTAATTATATCAAGTTCTCCAAACATACATTACCTTGTATCTTTTTTTTTCATGTTTATTCATAATAATTAAATGATTACGTTTCAAAAATAGAATATGTTCATGCATGATTAGATAACTTAACATAATTGATATAAAAAAAACTTAATTTAAATAATTTTCATTACAAATCACTAATTTAACTACTTTATACTCTACGTAAATTAATTATCTAACTTCTAGGTGTCAAGTTGACATGACGACTTCCCTAAAATATTGATACTGAAACTCAAAAAATAAAGCTTCAATAATTCATGAGTGCTAAGATTGAGACAAGACCATTATGGAGAGTGATATGATATCCCACCACACCGCATGTCTTGTTTAAAGAAAGGACAACTATAACGACCTGAGTATGGCATTAATAGTGGGCAATTATCTGTTCTGTTCTTTTGTCGTTTGATCTCTTCCTGTGAGTGGAGTCAAATACGTTCCTGTTTATGCCATTTTGTGGCGATTTCTATTTGTCTGTTGAGCTGATATTTTTATTTATTTACTCCACAAGATGCCATGTTTGAGGCAACATTAATTATTTTAGGAATTTCAAACACAGAAAAGTTGGATTGGTATTCAAGAGAGATGGAGAAGGGAAAAAGCTACCAGTATAATTGTCAAACTTGAGCTCTGATACGAATCAATGGGTATTTAAGTTGGATGAGAAAACCACTCCCCAAAATTAGCTATTGATGTGAAGGAACTAACATAATTTAAATAAATAATTGAGTATTAATAATACTTATTGTGAAACCATATTACCCAAGTTTCCATCAACATCATAACGAAAACTATATATAGTTGCATGAAGTGTCCGAAGCACTACATTGTTTCAAAGACAAACATGAAATCTCACAACTCAGCTCTTCCACAAGGTTGACTTTACTAGTTTTTCATTCAAGCTGATCCTCATTTTTCCATTTTTAAAATGTACCCAAAAAGCTTTTTATTCGATAAAATTATCACACGTTAGCATAAAAAACATGACAGTATACAGAACTTAAATTAGTCAAAAGTTTATTGAAAAGCATAAAAAAAAAAAAAATTTATTTGATGCTCAAGAAAATGAAGGGAATCGCATGTGTTCTCAGCTGCGTTTACCCAAGCCAAGCAAAACGTACTGTTTGCAGTCTTAGTACTACGCCGACACTAAATATCATGGAGCCATTCACTGTGGTCAACATTCAAGAAGAAGAGTTTATATTCATTTTTCATATTAGTCTTATAAATGAACAAATACAATGTGAGGGAACAACCTTTTGCTTCTTACAAGAGATACAGAACCAGTAAAGAGTTGCTGAAAAGATCATATAAGGGAAATTCAAGGACACATAAAACGGGAGGTAAAAAATATTGTTGTGAGCTTACATATCATAAATGGCAGTCTGATCATCTGTTTCAAGAAGTAAGCGGTCCCTTTGTCTTGAGATTCTGAAATCCCTGGTGGATGAAGACCTGCGGACGGGGTGAAATCTGTACATAGTATCTTCTTCCCTAGCTGCATTTGATCTCAACTTAGGTAAAGGAGGAAATTTATCAATGTTTTCACTTCCATTATCATCACGATGGCTTTTGGGGAGCAGCTTTTGATCTGAGGACACATTTGGAGAGAAGATAGGTGAAGAATCATTTGCCTCAGTAGGATTTGTGGTTGTGCTACCCGGTTCTTCATGTGGGACGTATATATTGGCATTCCTTCTCAATTCCTGAAATTAGATTTCAATACATTTTCAGTATGCAGATAACTTTAGAAAGCATGGACATAGATATAAAATGAGTGTTCATGGTTCTGATGCGTCAGTGGTTTATAGTGGATGAGCAAAAATGCAGGGAACCCAATGTAAGAACCAATATCAGTTCAAAGGAAAGCTTCAATCAATCTAGCAGTCTCTCTCCAGTGATGAGTTCGAGTCTCAGTATGAACTAATCCGGTCAAGCATCACATGGGGACTTAATTATTAGCCACCATCTATTAGTGGTCAGCTTGTCTTGGATCCAAATTTGTGTCATAAAGAGATAAGGGAGTTTCTTTTAGCTCAAAGTTTAATCCTACCTCTTTAGAAGATATAGTGGGTTCTGCTGGCTTTTCAGGTGCCAGGCTCTTTCTGCGACGCTCAAGTAACGTACGCGAACGTCTAATTTTAGAATTCATGCGCCTGTAAACATTGGCAAATCAATCAGATGCTATTAAATCGTTATCAAGAAAGAAAAAAAACTTCATAAAGATTGTTTCAGGTTTTTTATTCAAATTTGGAAATAGGATTAGAATAAGATTATCATTCATTTTTGAAGTGAAATTATATTACTACTATCATTTAACATCATATATTGAACAACAGATTCCAATAGCATGGACATATTTCAGAACCCTATAATTATTGAACCTAATGGAAAACACTAAAGCCTTCCTCAAGCAACTTACTTGATTTGTTCATCGGCTTGATCTTGCTCCTTATCTTCATTGCAGATCACAGGAAGACCAGAGAGGTCACATGCCAAAGGACTTGTATAGAAAAACTGCAGGCAAAATATTGTTATTAAGAGATTCATACTCACAAGAGGATATTCAAATATGTATACATGTGTCAAAAAAAATCCATTGGAATGAGAACTAGATAAATAATAATTAATTGTAAACCAAAAAAACTGAATCAGGGAGGTGAATGACCTATTTGAAAAGTATAATATGATGGAGAAGAGAAAATTCCACCCTGCAAACTTGATTGGCTCAAATATAGGCCAATACTTCAAAGCCTCTCAGCCAGAATATTTACCAGAGAAAACTATGACACTTAAAATTAGGCTTTTTCTTAAAGGGGACAAACTACTACATAAAAAATTATAAAACATTCTAATATAGATAAGCTCAGTTTAAGGACATAAACACTGCCTCATAACAATATGAGACTTTGATATGCCGATTCATATACCAGCAAATTGCAATTGCAAAGCTTGAATCAGTATTCATCATTCTACACATGACTCACTCGATTTTGGAGAGCTTTAGAGGCAGTTCCACGGTAAGCAGGATCCAAGGCAAGCAGAGTACATAATAGACCCAAAGAAGATGATGGGAGATCTTTGAAAGTCTCTACAAGGCAGGGTCTATAAGACTTTGGAGGCCTAAAAGTCCCAGCAACTTTGAATTTTTTCCAATAACCCTCTGATGGTGTACCACATAGCATAAAAATTCTATGAAGTTGCTCCACCTGAATGTAGAGAGTGTTTACATAGGACAAGATAAGTTGGCAACTAAAAAGAAGGGGGGGAGGGAGAAAGGCGCACACACGGAGCAGAAACCAAAAAGCAGAGATGAGTTATTAGAAGAGGGTAAAATATATTTTTTGTCCTGGGAAGATAATTCATTTCTTAACTTGGTCCTATAAGCCTCTCATTTTGTCCCCCATTAGTTTTCTCCAAATCAATTCAACTTCCTCTGTTAACCAATGTAACACAATTAATTGACTCACTGACCCAGGCACCTAGCCTAAACGTGGTCGTCAAACTGATGAAGTGGCCCTGTTTATTAAACAACAAAAGTGATTGGAGGAAGATAAAAAAAATAGTAAAGGGCAAAATTGAGAGGGACACTTTTGAGGACCAAATTGAAAATTTTTTAATCCTTCAAGGACAAAAGGCATCATTGTCAAAGACACTGAAACTTTGGATACTGCCATTGTCTGGGCGTTATCACCTCTGTTCTACCAGGCATAATCGGAACTCCAGTAAACATTTCTGCCAGGAGGCATCCAGCACTCCATAAATCAATACCAACTCCATAATCTGTGGCACCTAATAAGAGTTCTGGAGCTCTGTACCATAGTGTCACAACCCTGCTTGTGAGAGGCTGGTCATGGTCGGGATTATAATAATTGGCGAGCCCAAAATCAGCAATCTTAAGCATCCCACTTTTATCAATCAAAAGGTTTGACCCCTTAATGTCTCTATGCAAAATTCCCCGGTCATGACAGTGCTGCAAACCTGAAAGCAATTGATGCATATAGGCCTTGACCTGCAATAATTATTTCAGATAATCAGGGAAACACTAGCAAACCAAATGCTAAAATGTCAAAGCCATCCAAGAGAAACTTGTAACCTGCGGTTCAGTTAATCTCTCTTCAGGACGGGAAACTATTCTAGCCAAATCTGATTGCATGAAGTCAAAAACAAGATAAAGACTATAATGCATTCGTGAAGTGGCCAATCCTTTGAGTTTTACTACATTGGGATGATCCAATCTCCGTAATATCATAATTTCTCTTGCCATGAATTTAATGCATTCAGGCTTCGATGTGTCAAGGCGCACCTTCTTGAGGGCCACTAATTCTCCAGTGTTTCGATCTCGAGCTTTATAAACATTGCTATAAGTTCCCTGCCCTACCTGCAAAACATAATATGTATTATGAGTTAGAGCAACTGGTTGACTCTCATCAAACATTGTCAATTAACCTGTCTTAGCTGCTGCGATCGTGGGAATAAAGCATATTAAACTACGACATATTTAAACGTTTTATAAAAACTAAAACTGGTAAGCCTTTGAAAATCCATAACACCAATAATACAAGTATCTGGTTGCACCTCGTTTCAATTTCAGCAAATAAATCACTGGATTGAAACCTCATTGTTACAACTTATAATCTCAATTCAAATATACTAAAGTTCGAAACTGTTGACGATTCAAGCTGAAAATTGGCTAAATGTCACTGGACGGGTACTCCATTAGCACGTTATGAAGACTGCTTCAATGTACCTTTAAAATTGATCACAAAGCAGAGGTTAGTCCTATGGGCATTAAGAGTAGAATGCTCGAGGCGTTATCACTTCATTTTTCAAGGAATCCATCCTAAAAGCATTCTTTACAAATAGCATTTTCTACAATCCAACATTCTAACCATAACAAACCCAGGCTAAATAGACTAGAACAGAACTCAGGGGGAATAAATGTTACCTTATTAATCATAATGTACGATTCAGCACTCTTGGGAGTCAAGCCAGCCAATACTTCCCTTGGAACGTTATCAACTAGCCATTTGGGCCATCCATCAACCATCTCATCTTCAAAAGACTTCCTTGATACCTTCAAATGATTACGGACAGCATTCTTCCTCCCCTCTTTGTCATACAATTTCGTCTTATCTCTAACTCTTTCTGCACCAGCCTTCCTGTCACCATTGCCAGTACCAGATTCGACCTTGTGCCTCCTTGGTTCGCACAGGTTTTCCCGGCCATACTCCGTACGATCAAATTTCTGCCCCGTTGATCCTCTATGAGCAACAAAGTCACCATCTCCAACATACCCATTTTGTAATCCGAACCTCTCCAAGGGCCTAGATGGCTTAACCTGGTGAGAGCCCATAGTCTTCTATGATTTGAGTCTCACAGTGATGACATTTGAATTGTTCAGAATAATTGGTGGAACACACTAAATCAGGCAAAAGTGTACTTAGGCAATGTAGAAAGAAAATGGTGGTAGAATTATATGAGAGATTTTGGCCGTCCATGGCCGGCATTGGACCTTTATGGCTTTCTAAAGAAAAATTCTCGCTATCTCCGTTGGGATAGAAGAGTGTGATAGAGAGAGGGATTGTGACTGCGCCGTTCCAAGATTCAGAATAATGCATTGGGAGCCAAATGTTGAGCCTTGATGGCTTCAACAAGGGACGAAGGAGCAATGAGAGCGATTTTTAACTTCCAGCTCGAGACGTCACTCTCGAACTCGATCGATCCTCTTGGCGGCACCACATGGCGAGCCCGATCACGTTGCATTCACGTGACTGTCTTCCACCCAAATTACGTCTAAAAATTAGATTAAGAGTATAATCTTTAGTCCTTTCAATTTGTTCTTATTTTGATTTTAGTTGTTCAAGTTTCAAATTATAAGTTTTGGTCTCTCAAAAAGTAAAATAGTTCAAATTTTTATTGAATTATAGGGATCAATATTTTAAAACAAAAAAAAAATTAAGGGACCAAAACCTATGGTTTGAAATTTGAGAGATCAAAACTAAAATGAAAATAAACTCGAAGAGCTAAAATTTGTATTAACTCTAATGAAATATTTACAATTAAAATTATTTTTCAAGATTGAAACCACCAAATTTTATAAGAAAATAATTTAACATTTTAGTAATTTTTCAAATTCAAATTTTAATTATAAAAAATATATTGATAATCTGTCTAGCTAAACAATTATAATGATAATGATAACTAGAAATTTCTCTGCGATGAACAGACTAGTATATTTGATTATATTTAAAATTGAACAATACTTACATCAAGTTTCTTATACTCCTCCGGTCCTTAATATAAGACCCATTTAACTAATTTGATTAGATTAAGGAAGTTAGGTAAGTTAGTTAATTATAAAAAATGTGATATGTTTTTCCTAAAATACCATAATCATCTTTCTTAATACATCATCTTCTTCTTCTACTTGGTTATAGTTGAAGGAGTATCCATAAGGGTAATTTAGAGAAAATTGATAAATATAATAAATGGGTCTTATATTTAGGACCAAAACCAACTCACCAATTGGGTCCTATATTAAGGACCGGAGGAGTATTAATTATATCAAGTTCTCCAATCACACATAATCATGTGTTTTATTTTTAAAATATTAATATTTAATAGCATTTCATTATAGATCCACATGAAATCCCATTTAATAATGGTACTCTCCATTTAATTCAACATATTCAAATACTAATTAAGATATTCAAATTCAAAACTAATTATTAATTTATTTATTTGAATCTCCAATTGAAATCCCATTGAATAATGATGCTCCCTATTTAATCTAATATATTAAATCTCAATTAAGATATTATTCAAATATAAAATATAAAATTAGTAATTAATTTTTTCATTTGCGCTTCCAATTGAAATCCCATTTAATTATAATTCTCTCCATTTAATTTAATATATTCAAATCTTAATCAACATATTATACAAATGTTATTAATTGAATATAATATGATATTACAAGATTTCAAGGATGTAGTTGATGATATGTAATTCAAAGTAATTAAAATTTTAAGGATATTTTAGAAAATTTTATGATTTGATTTTTAAAAAAAATGCTTTTTCATCAGATAATGCAATATCCATATCTAGTCAAACAACCAACAAATCATTCATAATAAAATTAGTTGGGAAGAGGGATAAAATTTATTAATGAAAACCAGCTCAGTTTCTTCTTTTTTTTGTGTGGATAAAATCACAAGTTTATTTAACCAACAAAATGTTACACAGCTAGAGTGAGAAGACCCAATCAAATATGTACACACAAGAAAAGAAAAGAAAAGACATTAAAGTTAATTGAGTTTGATTGAAAGCTAAAACAAACGTCAACTGCTGAGAAATTAGCCATAGCTCTGGTATTCTTTCACCGTGCAAAACTTGACTTGACTTGAGTTCATGGCGGAGCAGTCAACTAAAAAGCCAAATATGTAAGACCCAATAGAAAATGCCACCACGAAATAGCAGTATGGCCAGATAATTCACTACATCTACGTCCATTGGTCCCATTTGGTATGAAGTATTGAAAATAAGAGATATGGACTGAGATTATAATTAAAAAAAATTACTAAAAAAGTATTTAACATGAGTAATTATTTGTTACATAGGATTAGATAAACCCATTGAGGTGGGACTGGAGAATATCATATTCCACCATAATATTCTCCAATCCCACACACATAAGTTTGTCTAATCCCATGTAAGAAGAAATATCTCATACTAAATATTCTTTTAACAAGGTTTTTCAATCCCAATTTCAATTTCTATCTCTTATTTTTAATATTTTGTACCAAACGGAACCATGGTGTTTAGGTGAAGCCTGAGAACAACAAAAGCATACCATAACCTTGTAGAGCAGGGATTTTAATAAATTTGTTCTGAAAAAAAAAAAACGTAGGTATGCGGGGTTGAACAAATTCATTAGAATCTTCCCTTTCTTTATTTCCCTCCAACTAAATAAAGGGGTCAAACAAGTGCCTGATGATTTAAATCTCAACTCCCATTTATATGGCAACTTAAGGTATGTTTGAATTAATGATGGCAAAACTGACTTTCATTTCATTTGACTTTTGTGAAATTGACTTTCATATGATGACCAGATACTTCACTACATCTACATCCATTGGTCCTGTTTGGTACGAAGCATTGAAAATGAGAGATATGGATTGAGATTATAATAAAGAAGTTCACTAAAAAAGTATTTAGTATGAGTATTTATTTGTTACATAGGATTAGAGCCCATTGAGGTGGGACTGGAAAATATCATATTCTACTATAGTATTCTCCAATCTCACACACATAAGTTTGTCTAATCCCATGTAAGAAGAAATATTTCATACTAAATATTTTTTTAACAAGGTTTTTCAATCCCAATCGTAATTTTTATCTCTCATTTTCAATACTTTGTACCAAACGAGACCATGGTGCTTAGGTGAAGCCTGAGAACAACACAAGCATACCATAAGCCTGCAGAGCAGGGATTTTAATAAATTTGTTCTTGAAAAAAAAAAAAAAAAAAGAACCGTAGGCATGTGGGGTTGAACAAATTCATTAGAATCTTCCCTTTCCTCAGCTTTATTTCCCTCCAACTAAATAAAGGGGCCAAACAAGTGCCTGATGATTTAAATCTCAACTCCTATTTATATGGCAACTTAAGGTATGTTTGAATTAATGATGGCAAAATTGACTTTCATTTCATTTGACTTCTATGAAATTGAGTTTGAGTAAAAGTTAGTTAATATAATGTAATTTACGGTTGAACTGATGTTTATAAAAAAATTAGTTTGAAAAATTAAAACTTATCTAGATGGATAATAAAAAAGTAAGTTTAGATATAGAATGAATAAAAAAGACATGAGCTTTTAAATAAGACTCAATTAACTAATTTGAAAATATTAAGTATATATATATAAATATTTTAAAGAGATTATATAACATATATTATAATTAAGTAATTTATTTAACTTTTCTAATCTATTCAAATTATTCTATTAGGGTCTTATATTAAGAAACAAAAGTAATATATTATATGTATACAATTTGATAAAGTTTAGAAAAATAATAAATTAAATTAATTAAATTTTATTAGTTAATTTTTCTTTTACAAAATCAAGTTATCGGATCAAGATAGGACCTATTTATTTTATCTCTCCACATTAACCCTTCTTACCAACAACAAAGGCTAAAAATTTTAGCTTCTCAACACATCTAGCGCATGTTTGAATCAGCGTTTTCAACAGAAAACGTGCATTGGAATGACACAAACCAATGTTACTAGCAGATAAATGCTCAAACAGATGTTTGGGTGAGCATTTTTGCAAATAAACTTTTGGATAAAAAGATACCTAACGCTGAAGCTAATTTTTTGAGCTTTTGCCGTTACAAACATGGAGAGAGAAAAGATAGTAATTGAAAAAGACAAAATTACCCCTAACAAACCCAATAATTTGATACTCCTCTGGTCCTTAATATAAGACCCATTTAACTAATTTGATTAGATTAAGGAAGTTAGGTAAGTTAGTTAATTATAAGAAATGTGACACGTTTTTCCTAAAATACCATACTCATCTTTCTTAATACCCTTTCTCTTTCTTTTACTTGATTATGGTTGAAAGAGTATCCATAAAGGTGATTTAAAAAAAAATTAATAAATATGAAAAATGGGTCTTATATTTAGGACTAAAACTAACTCAACAATTGGGTCCTATATTAAGGACCGGAGGAGTACTACATATTCTTAATATAAGAGTTTGATAACTAATTTAAAGATATTAATAAAATTAATTAATTTACTTATTTGTAATAAATTGATGTTGTCTTATCTAAAATATTTTTGTTAATCATGTGTATTAAAACTATCCATTAATAAAAACTCCTTAATATGTATAATCATTACAGGGATTACTTGAGAACAAAATAAATAAATATTTTATAATTTCACAAATAAACTATTTTTATTTTATCATAATAATTTAAGTATTTTTTTAAACAATTATCACATTAAAAATATAAAGTTTCAAATACTACTATCTAATAAAGTCTATATCCTTTTTAATCATTTTACAATTGAACTAACTTTTTTATTAATCATGCAAATAACTTTCAACTTTTTCAACTGACTTTTTAAAAGCACATATCCAAACATAAATCGCATTACACTAACTGACTTTTAATCTAATTTCAGTTACAAAAGTCAGTTCGGCTATAAATCAATTTTGCCCAAGACTAACCCAAACATATCCCCAACTTTTTTCCTAAAAGTTGGCTGGGATAAAAGCCCACCCAAACAACCCATAGTCTTTAAGCCACTCTCAAACCAGCGTTTTATCATGAAAACACCAATCCAAACACATGCTTAGTTGGGAGGAACCTACCATTTACTCTTAGGAGAGACTAGGATCCATTTGGTGGGAGTATGCTCCTTGTGCTCAAGAAAAAGATGCTCAACGAAGATTATGCAGAGTTTTAAAATTAAAAGCTTTGACATTTAAAAAAATAATAATAATATAATCAACCTAATAAGATTAATTTTTTATTATGTTTATTGACATTCAAACTCATCTCTGAAGAAGCACTCTTTTCATTCTTATTATTTTAACATTACTAGTTAAAATGCTAGTGACATTTATGAGATCTCTTTTTATTCTTGCATCTGTTACTCACACTTAAAAGGTGGTATTTAAAATCAATTGGATAATATCTACAACAACAATAACATCAACAAAACATTGTCCCATCATGCGGGGTAACTGGATAATATTTACCCCAAAAAAAGTTAAAGACAATTAGATAAGAGAAAAGTGGGAATATTATAGCTTAAAAATTAAAATGTACAAAGTCTAATGACTAAAAGTCAACAGACAACGTGAGGAAGAACTAAGGAGGGAAAAAAGAATGGACGGCGATCAAAATATCGATTACAGCTTAATTGTTGAATCTGATCAAATCAATTGTGATTGAATAATATGTATTTACAAAATCTGCATTGACCTCGCATGCTAAGGACTCCAGAAGAAATAATCAAGCTCAATGTATTTTGATTATGCCCTTTATCATAATTTCATTGAATGCTTGGAAAGATGCAAGTGATTAATACTGAATACGAAAATCACATGCCGAACTGATAAGCATGAACTACTTGCCGTGGACCTCGAAGATTAGTGGATCTTTGTTTTTGCAGGTAGTGCAAGTTATGCATTAGCCGCCATATCTTTAATCCATCTAAATTAATTATCTAGATCCTGTTTCCTATATGTAAAAGCAGAAGAAGCATTTTGGTGGCTTTTAATATGAACCCAAACATGTGCTTAGTTTTAACCAGCAAAATATAGCAAGGGAAATCATGATCTCAGTACTTCGTGCATGTTTAGAGTTGCTTAATACTACCTCCAGTCCTTAATATAAGACCCTGTTTGACTTTTGTTTTAGTCCTAAATATAAGACCCCAATTTACTTTGTCTCTTATATTTATACATTTTTTTCCAAAGTAGCCCTTATAATAATAATAGTTCTAGTCAATACACTTGATTAGCAAGGATATTTTAGGAAAAATAATACCTATTTAGGATAAATAACTAACTCAACTTACTTCCTCAATCTCCTCAAATTAGTCAACTAGCTCTTATAATTAAGACCGGAAGTAGTATAAGCATTTATAAGCACATTCACATAAACTTAGATAAGACTCTCCTCACAAACTTGCCTCGTATTTTGTAAAGGATTAAAGTACAAATTTACTCTGAAAGTTTTCACTAAGAAGTGTTGGGTATCTAGAAATTCTTTTCGGGTGCAAATTTGCCTAAAAGCTTAAAATCATAACAATTTTACCCAATACCGTTAAAAAACTAATATTGACTGTTAAAATAGTAATGTTGATTGTTAACATTTTTAACGATGAGAGGTAAAATTGCTACGATTTTAAACTCACAAGACAAATTTGCATCTAAAAAAAAACTCTTGGACACCTAATGCTCCTCCGTGAAAACATCTGGTGCAAATTTGCCCCTAAAGCTTAAAATCCCTTCTATAAATTCTGATTAAAAAGCTACTTTTGAAAGTTCATACCATCATTTCAAACAAGCACGAAGCAAAATACTATGGCGAGGAAAAAAAGGAACACGTACACGTGCAATTAGAGAAGAAAGAAGATGAAAGAAATCAGTGTTCTTTACAGAAAGGAGGGGTACCTGAACTATGGACAGCATTTACTATTAAAGTATTCATTCCAAATAAATTAACAGGTAAACGAGATCTACAGAAGATTTGCAGACCAAAGCAATCATAACATGTAAGAAAATAAGAAGAGAACCCCACTTCAAAGTTTTCGTGGCATGCTTAGGTTCTCTTTATGATCATTTTGGTCTGCCTATCTTTTGTAGAGCAAGTCCAAGAAACAAATTTACTTCATTCCAAATCTATAATCCCAAAATTTGATAGAAGTATCTTTACTTGATCAACGAAGTCTGAGCCTGTTGCATACTCTGTCAGCATTCCAACAGCAAAACCAAACATGGCCCATCTGTAACAATGAAATCCCATTTACAAATTCTAAATGGACGAGTAACATAAATAGTTGTAACTTCCAGAAGAAAATGAGAAGAACGGAAATTAACGGCATAATCTTAACAGAGTCCAAATTATTGAACCTATGAAGATGAGAAGATAATTATTCGGGGAGAGGTTAAGATCGGAATATAAGGTATTAACTGAAGTACCATCATTGCTGCTGAAAAGAATGCTGCAAAATTTGATAAAACCTTTCTCTTTCTAATAGATTGAGATCAGACTCTTTTACAGTATCATTAAAGTGAAGTCCACAATATCATTCAGGCCTCTTTGGCCAAACTTTTGAAGAAAGAGAGTAAGTAAAGACAGTTAGATTATGATATTAGCATTGATAAGCTGGATCAAGGTAAAAGAGTAGAAAGAATACCATTAATTCTACACTGGAGTGTTTTATTAATCAAAATTTACAACAATTATGCAAATGAGTGCCAGCAAACTGATGGTCACCATGTAAATTTTGGTATTCTATCTTTCATTTATGAATTCTGTAGAGTCTATGCTGAAGATTTCTTCTTCACATTGATATGAGAAAAACGTTAACGAGATATGCAAATCAACTCTGGAAGTTGAAGAAATGATATGGAGGTAAACGGGGCAAGGACAATGAGGGCTCTAAGGCAATTCACACGAGGAATCCAACAACTCCTATTAAACAAGACCATGAATTAAGTGAATTTTAAAGTTTCTTTTGAATCAGTCTGCAGAAGCTCCACAATTGAGACATGAAATTGAATTCATAAAGAGAATCTGAAGGCTTTCAAGAGAACAAATCTCGTTTCCTATAATCTCCTGGTACTTGGCAATAAAACACAGTGATAAAATGGATTTCGGCACTATAATTTGACTGACTCTCCTGCCTCAGATACATACCAGATAATTTGTTTGCCTAATGAGAAAGGCCCATATGACTCAGTTTCCATCGGAATATGCAAACGAGTCATGCTTGCCCATCTTAACATGAAAACTGAAACTACCATCCAAGTTGGACGAGAGACTTTATCCCAAAAGTTAGTCAGTGGAGTGGAAGAACAAATACACTTAATCTAGAAAATGGTCTACCTATTCATAATGAGACTAGGCACGCCATATTACCTTGATCACCATCTAATAAAAGGCCATTCCAGTTTCCAAATTGCAATTAAGGGATGGAATGATCACAAGAAACTCAGCTATAACTTCCATGAACCATTAAACTGAATTAATGTAAATCAGGCACCACAGTGACCAAAATTCCTGGAAATTTTGCTAAATGATCATCTTATATGAGCTACCATAAGATTATCTACATTTTCAATTTCATCATAATCTACAGATCAAATGTACCACATTGAAAGCTGCTACTATTATTTAACTCATTTAATCAAAGTCTTGAACGAGGGGAAACAACACAATGTAACGAAATTGGCAGAGGAATAACCCTATCAATTGTTCAGCATCATTAAAACTTAAAAGAAGCACCGACCACAAATATTAAATTGGACGTTACATGACTTTTCAAATATATTTTGAAGTGTTGTGTTGCATTAGCACAACTATACCTATGAACTGGAACTCTAATTGGGTCAGCTTAAGATTTATCTATAATCTATTATTCTGACGTAAATCACATTAACCTGGTCATTAAATCAAACAGTTGGTGACAATTTACCAGTAGCGCCAACACAAATCAAGCAATTAACATGAGCCCACATAAATCTGTTTCACTCCCAACTTACCTGCCATTGGTAATCTCATTCTTCCCAATGAAACCAAACAGAGGCCCTCGGTCTGCTTCTTCAAGCTTCTTCTGCTTGAAGTAATCCTGCAACTCCTTGGCCTTTTGCCTCTGAAACTCCAACGTAATAACATTCTTGTCACCCCCGACAATAGCAGCTGCCTTGGGCGGCGGAGTCACGTTGGTTGACGGGGGAGACGGCGGTGAAGGCGGTGAAGTTGAAGAAGGAGGGGTGGGTTTCTGGGGTTGAGCCACTGGTCTTCTGAGAGGACCTTCAGTCTGAGAACTCCTTATAGTGACACAAAAAGGCTTGGAAGAAGAAAATCTGAGAGAAAAGGATGAAGTTGATGAAGACGTGCAAGAGGAGGGTGAGGAAGAACAAGGAGAGATTTTGATGCATGGAATTGAAGAAGCCACAGACATTTTTCTACTTTGCCTGATGGAGATTTCCAATATCTATCTATAATCTATCCCTCAAAATTTGTTCTATCTTCAGTCTTTTTGTGTCAAGATTGTTGTGTGGTGGTTTGTGGATTTGGACGTGACTTACCTAAATCAGAGAAGTGGCGTACATGTGGATAAGGAGGGACCAAGTTTTGCAGTGGAAGGTGGCTCCAGTTCAGAGTTCCTTAGCATGTCGTTTCTCTAAGGACATGATGACACTCAGAAAGATCACCACCAACCATAGAGTCTTATATGGGTGTTCATGGTTCAGAAGATCCCATAACTTGTGCGAATACAGATTTTTTAATTTATTAAAAAAATTAAGAACAGCATGCATTTTAACGGACTCAATTTGTGTTGGCAAAAAAGGTTCAAAAAAAAAATTCACATTTTTTGTGATCGTATTGAAGCAATTAGTGTCATTTTAAAGGGTATAATTACCCTTTTAGGGACATAACAGAAGATATTAGACTTTTTATTTATAAGGTTGGCCAAGTGAAGCTTTGTCATGTAAGCAGAGATGAACTCACTTTTACTGATAGATTAGCTAAATTTTTTCATATGTTAGAGGTTAGTTGGTGTCTATTTGATCAACTACCACCTCTCAATTTTTTCAGAAACACTTTTTCACAAATCAAAACAAATTCCTCTATATATTTACTTCGTATACTGTAAAAGTATTTCTGAAATCATGATTTTATTCTTACTCAAATACCCCCTAAATCAAGAGATAGAGCTTGATGAAGGTGACTAAAAAACTTTTTTTATTTTCGTAACTGTTTAGTGTGTTATCCAGTTTCTTATTAAAAAAAAAATTCATGGGATTGGAACTCAAATTGAGTCAAAGTAATAAATTACTTCTCCAATCCTAAATATAAGACCCTTATACTAATGTGTATAAGGGTCTTATATTTAAGACCGGATGAATAGTAAATGAGTCATGTGCTTGGTTTGTTCCAAAGTTTAAGGATCAGTTCGGTTAAATCACGCAGTTAAACTTTTATCTTGACTAGTTTAATTATCAATTCGGGTTTCACTCAATGACGTGTTTTTGAGATTATTTTTATTTTATTTTTTTGTTAGAGTTTTTGAGATTATTCTAATTAAATACAAATGTTACATAACTACTTGACGAAATTGGGTGTTTGTCCCTATCTTTACGCTATATATATATATATATATATATATATATATCAAAACTAACGCAAATATAATCAGTTAGAGAAGATCTGGAGAAATATATGGTAAGCTTCTAATTCACTTGTAGAGTTTGATTCGGGTTATAGATAAAATTCATAATTATTTTAATATTTAATTAAATTAATTTACATTAAATTAATTTTTTAGAGGTCAAACCACACACTTTTGCATACAAGGAGGTAAGGTTTTCTTTTACAGTTTTCGTGGCTATTGCCCATTCGGCCCTACCAAATTCAAATAAGAATTATCTCAAAATAAATCATTTGTTTTTGTCAAAAAAAAAAAAAGAGCTTGAGACATGCTGCTCTAATTACAAGTTACCGGCAGAAAAAATATTTTGTTCTAAATATGCTCACTTGAAGAATTATTAATAATTATTTTCTAATTTTATTCCTATTTAATGAGAGAAATGAGAATGATTTATAAATTTAAAGAGAGATAAAAATTTTAATAAGGACAAGTTTAAAATTTTTTATTAATTTAACACATATTTAATGACTTAACTATTAGTTTTTAATATACGAAAATGAGTCACAAGTACCTTATAAATTGAATTGGTATCTTTATTTATAAGCCTTCAATTATATATAAAATACCAACTTCAATTTTTAATATAAAAGCTAGTTGAAAAGTTGGTTTGATCATAAATACAAGATTACAATCCAATTCGTTATCATCGGCTAACTAACACGTCAAGCCCTGCCAGCCGCCATCTAGTCTATGACTAAATATATGCACTTTAAAGACCTTTAGAGACAGTTTTTGTCACCGCTGAACACGAGGCCCTCAGCGGCGATTTTTTTTGTCACCGCCAAAGGAAATAGTTTCAACAACGACTTTTTTGTCATTATTGAAAAGTATACTTTCAATAGTGGCCTTCTAGAGTTAGTACTAAAAGTTGACTTTCAGTAGTGGTTTATCGAGGCTAAAAGTTATTGCTGGAAATCTTTTTTTATTTTTTGTTAGTAAAATAGGGAATAGATTGTGATGTGTGTTTCTATTACTCCCAATTTCTCTAGAGTCAAATATATCATCACAACGAGATAGCCAAATATCCCACAGATCAATGTAGCCAAATAGGATCGGCCACTGAATATTCTTGGTATATATGATTAACCTACTTGGTACTAAAATTCAATTTGACCCACTCCAAACTGTGGAATGATCAGAAGGTTGGCCAAAGCTCTGGAGCAACTACTGACTTCCATCAATGAAAAGCATTTGAACAATCCTAATCAGGTGCATGGAGTCCTCACCCCCAACACAACCAAATGGACATGTCGCTGCCTCTGCGAGGCCCCTGTTCGGCCTTGAAAATAAACAAGCACACAGATAAGGTTGCATCCACACGCTTGATGTTTATTGTAATTAAAGGAAGAGGGATTAAAATGGCAAAAGGTTGATGGATTGATGTTTCTTGGTTATCCTTTCTTTGCCATCTATTCAAGAAGAGAATGATGACGCCTGAGGCTTGTTTAGGTGCAAGTGACTGGGGCCTTAATGACTGGGGATGGGTAGAGACAACGCAGGAGATGGCAACGGAGAAGGAGATCGCTAAAAACTCTCTTATCCCAATGCTAAGAGTTAGCAGGCTCCTTGTGCGTCTGAAGGCAAATAACAACATAATCTCTAGTCCGAAGGCAATGAAAGAGAAGCATTCAGAGATTTGGGGCTTTCCTTTGCAATTTCAGTTTGTTGAAGGAGGATTAATTATGAAGACAATGCAAGGATCCTCGCTTCAAAATGATGCAAATCTTAATTTAAGAGGTCCTTTGGAAGATGCTATAAAGAACCTTAGTCCTCATTTGATATGAAGCATTGAGAATAAGAGGTAAAGATTGATATTAGAATTGAGAAAACTCATCAAAAAAATATTTAATATGAGGGATGGGAAACCCATGTAAATGAGATAGAAGAATACTACCTTCCCTATCATCCCCCAATTCCTCATATATGCGTTTGCTCAATCCTAAATAACAAACAATTTCTTATAATAAACATTTTTAATGAGTGTCATTACAAAAAAATATGTCAATTGTAGCGGTTAAAGTGAGACATTTCTAGCAGTTTTAACCGCAACAAATAACATTTGTAGCGGTTAACAAAACTGCTAGAAAACCAGGCGCAAGAAAAAAATTTTAGAGGTTATGGCAACCGCTACACAGTATGGTCAAAATGCTAGACAATTTCTAGCGGTTAACCAACCGCTAGAAAATGCTGAAAAGGAAAAACAATTCTAGCGGTTTTATAACTGCTAGAAAATTCTGAACCAAATCTCATTTTGCCGGGAATTAAAAATTTTCATTAGGGCGCCAACATTTCTAGCGGTTCAAGAACAGCTAGAAATTCGGGGAAATCAAATTTTTCAGGCAATTAAATGTTTGCAATGGCGCCAAAAAATTTTCTAGCGGTTTGAACCGCTAGAAATTTTTGCACAAAATTTAAATTTCACGAAATATTTGTAGCGGTTTTGAACCGCTAGAAATGTTTTCCGTGCCAGAAAAAAAAATTGTGGTTTTTCATTATTAGAAAATATAATATTATAATTTTAAAAACTATTAAATAGATTATGTTGAAGAATTTTTGTTAATTTGTATAATTAGTTATGTATTACATTTTATATATTTAAATTTTGTAATAAACAATATGTAATTAAATTATGAGTGTGTCAAAAGAAGTGAATTTAATTTAATAAGATAATTGAATTGAATATTTAATAAGATAGTTGAATTGAAGATGAGATAGTTTGTAATATTGAACCTATAGTGTTAGGTTGAGGAGTATTTGAATCAGCTGAGGAGGGCATGACAAGTGTGAAGAAGAAAAATCTGAAAGAAAAGGAGAAATAAATATGTTAGTAAATTTTAAGTAAAAACAAATAAAAGATACAATGACTTATAAAATAAAATTCACTTACCACACAGTAAAGATAAAGAAACCACCATATGAGATAGTAAGAAAAAAAAGAGAGAATTATGAAGAATAATAGGAGAGGAAAGAAAAGAGATGGAGTAAATGCATGTAGAGAAGATATGATATTTATAGAGATCAGCGACACATTTGTAGCAATTTTTTTGTAGCGTTTTATTGCATTTTGTAGCTGTTAGTCATTTTCTAGCGTACACATAACAGCTAGTATTTTGTAGCGGTTATAATTTGTAGCGGTTATATAACTGCTACAAATTTTTTATTTTTTATTTTTTAAAAAGCTGTACCAATTTTAATTTATGCATATGTATTTATGGACGGAAAATTTTTTTAATAATAAAAATTTTGGATGCTGCTATTCTCCATCATCATCCGGCCTAAAAGGACACATTTTAAAAAAATTTGTTAGAATTATAATGTATTTAGAAAAAATTTGTAATTAGTAGTTAATTATTTAAATAATTTAAGAAAAGACGTATACCCGATAATTGGCAAAATTATCATCTCCTTGAGGAAAGAAGTCTTCAAGATTCGAGGGTTGGAAGGGTTCACTGTTGTAAATAATGTCACCATCACCCATATCATAAAGATCCCGTGGCTTGAGGTGAACGACCATATTCCAGTCTTTATGTTTCTCGTCCTCGACATAGTAAACCTGGTGTGCCTCAGAAGCAAGGATATATGGCTCATCATCTTCAGATGCCCCCGTATGAATAAGTCTAGAGAAATTAACTGAGGTGATGCCCAAATGGTCAGTAGCGAGTCCCCGTGAAGTTGTCGTATTTGCCCAGGAGCACTTGAACAGTGTCACGGTGAAAAGCTGGTAACTCAACTCAATAATGTCAATTAGCTTTCCATAATAAGTGACGCCTCCAAAGTGCATATCGCCATCACTGCTGCTAGCATAACATCTCGTTCCGAATGTCCCGCAAACTCCAGAGTTTTGTGTGAGCAATCCCTGATCACGTCCTACCGTACAGAATTTGAAACCGTTGACATTATACGCAGTAAACCTTCGTGCATGGTCTAACGGACCGAGAG